GATAAAGAGTATCAAGGTTTGTAGCTTGAGATGAAAGTCAACTGTATTCTCGCTTTTGTTCAAAGGTCTGCACGGAACTGAAACTTGAAATAGGTATTGACATAGCGAAGAAATTCTTTAATCTTCAGGCATCCCCTGTATGCATTATTTCGAGAAATGTTTGATCGGATGTTTGCAGGAACCTGATTTTAACTCTTGCATACGGTGTTTGCGCACGCAGTACGAGGGGTCATGAAAATTGTGCTGTCCTTCCGAAATGGCAGGATAATACTGTTCTTCTTCGCAGCTAACAAGAGTCATGAAGACGATGCCACACTTGCTTTGGCCTCTTCTAATGCTTAACTCGAGAATTCTGGGTTTAACGATTTCACTAGCGATAGCATATTTTGTTCAAAATGACACCTCTTTTATCCTACCTGGCGACAGCGATCGAAGAGCGAGTTGCTGATCGCTGGCGACCCATTTTTGGCGTGAAATTAACCGAAAAGCTTTGAGACCCAAAATGTTTCACATTTTCCCCTTGTTACAAACTGATATAATATTTTTGCCGTTATAAATCACTTTTCTTGAACATTTATTGCCGTATCCACTGAAAAAAGTTGCCCGACTTCATGCCTTTNTCCGCCACTACCTTGTGATAGAGATTAGAAAGTCATAAGCACAGTAATACGATAAAGAGTATCAAGGTTTGTAGCTTGAGATGAAAGTCAACTGTATTCTCGCTTTTGTTCAAAGGTCTGCACGGAACTGAAACTTGAAATAGGTATTGACATAGCGAAGAAATTCTTTAATCTTCAGGCATCCCCTGTATGCATTATTTCGAGAAATGTTTGATCGGATGTTTGCAGGAACCTGATTTTAACTCTTGCATACAGTGTTTGCGCCCGCAGTACGAGGGGTCATGAAAATCGTGCTGTCCTTCCGAAATGACAGGATAATAGTGTTCTTCTTCGGAGCTAACAAGAGTAAAGACGATGCCACACTTGCTTTGGCCTCTTCTAATGCTTAACTCGAGAATTCTGGGTTTAACCGTGACGATTTCACTAGCGATAGCATATTTCGTTCAAAATGACACTTCTTTTATCCTACCTGGCGACAGCGATCGAAGAGCGAGTTGCTGATCGCTGGCGACCCCCTTTTGGCATGAAATTAACCGAAAAGTTTTGAGACCCAAAATGTTTCACATTTTCCCGTTGTTACAAACTGATATAATATTTTTGCAGTTATAAATCACTTTTCTTGAACATTTATTGCCGTATCCACTGAAAAAAGTTGCCCGACTTCATGCCTTTACTTTAATTTTAACATGCATTTGACGTCAGGACAGTACAGGTTTTCCGTCTGCTGAATCCTGATTGGTCAATTGAAATTTCAGGCGCGCCAGCTCTGTGCAAGGACGATACCATAGTGAAGAAGTGCAAAATTTGTGAGATCAACAGCAAGATCAGATTTTCACTGTACTAAGACGCAGACATTCGTAATCACCCGTTGTTAGATTTAACTTATTCATAATGACAATCTAAGTTGTTAAGGTTTGGCAGCGGAATGCTAAGAGAGACTCGATTATGAAGACATGATTGATCCAATTCAGGCTTGAACGGGATTCCAATCCATGACCTCTGCGATGCCGGTGCAGTGCTCTACCAATTGAGCGTTCAAGCCAACAAGGAGCTGGTCACGTTGTGAATTCGTAAGCACTTTGGGGTTGCAGACTCAATGGAGCATGCCTGCAGTCTTTGTAATTTAAACTGAGACGCGTAAACAAGAATGAAAGTAGATTATGGCGGGCACCGTCTTCTTTATTCTATCTTGCCATACTTGAAGTCTCAATCCTAGCTTCTACTGATGCTGTTAAAGTTTTTCTGTACTTATGCATCGTTTTATTTTACCATGTTTTCATTTTCGTCGAGTTTCTTGTTGTAGTGTACTTTGTACTGCTCAAGCATCGTCTCCATCATGTTAAAAANCGTGAATTCGTAAGCACTTTGGGGTTGCAGACTCAATGGAGCATGCCTGCAGTCTTTTGTAATTTAAACTGAAACGCGTAAACAAGAATGAAAGTAGATTATGGCGGGCACCGTCTTCTTTTATTCTATCTTGCCATACATGAAGTCTCAATCCTAGCTTTTACCGAAGCTGTTAAAGTTTTTCTGTACTTATGCATCGTTTTATTTTACCATGTTTTCATTTTCGTCGAGTTTCTTGTTGTAGTGTACTTTGTACTGCTCAAGCATCGTCTCCATCATGTTAAAAACTTCGTTGCTGTAATGAACATGATCTAAGCATCTGAGTTGATATGAATCGCTCAATGAATACACGTCTATGACGTCAAATCGTCCTTTGCACATGGCCGACATGGAGTAGACGTTGAAGAGGGAACTCGCTGAAAGGAGGAAACGCAAAAATATTTTATTGAGGTTCTAAGAGGTGTACCAATCGTGGACCTTATCACTGCGCCTCTTTTTATTGCTAAGTAGGAGATAAAACATTTGTGTAGCTAATCTTTGTAAACCCAAACACGGCACTAGGATCTCATTTATAAATGCAGGATACAGCGAGTGTTAAATCATCATAAAGTAAATAAAGCGATAGCCTGCGAATGCAGACGTATTTCCGGCTGTCGCTTGTCTCCGCCGAAAATAACGTCTGCGAACTCGAGCCAGGAAACGATTTCTGTGACGTGTGACTTTTGTTTCTCCTTGGCCAATCAGATTCCATGATAGAATGAAACTCGAGTGCTCCTCGCAGCGAA